TGATGCTGTCTGTGAAGAATGGAAATTATAGTCCAGTACACCTTGGAGGTTCTCTTGAAGAAGGAAATCCAAGTACAAATTTAAGGTTTATTCTATTCGCCCCAAGTCCCCTGGGGTCACCCCGTCTTTTCTTCAACACTGTTAGGCCTTTGATCAAATGGTGCTTTGTTTGATGCCAGGACATGGGGTCACTTGAAATGGTTAGTTATTTCACAGTACATAGAGACAAACTCCCATTATCTAGAAAAAGTTCATGTCTGGTCACTTGAACCAATTTGTTCAGCTAGGAAGAAATTGGAAGGGGAAGGCAAATTAATTTAATCATTTTTTGTTCTCCAAATTAATGAGTATGCTTTTGAAGATGTTGGCCAAAAACAGTCTTCAGCAAACTAGTTGTGGGGAGGATATTTAAAATCAGTTTTTCTCGTATACACAGCTCAAATTCTTTGGGTGAACAAGGGTCTATTGGATGAGCAAGGTATTAGTGACATGCACAAGTAATTTCCTCCAAAATGCATGTAAAGCATGTTAATCAGTTAAGTATTTTACAATGATTAGCCAGTTTTATTTCGTAACCAACCCACTGAGCCTTTCTCCCCTTTTAATGGTTAAGGGACAGAGTAAGCTGCTTTAAGCAAAGTCAGAACATTGATGTTCCTAGTACAATATTACTTGCATCACCTTTCTCTAGTCTGGTGCCTTCCAGTACATTTAAATACTGAAATTCCCAGAATTCTTGGCTGGAAATGCTGGGGGTTGGAGTCTCATCTCTTTAGAAGGCACTAAACCAGGGAAAGCTAGCCTATCACAACTGGCCACATCATATTCTTATTCTTATCAATACAACCTGGAGGGCCAAATGTGTTATGTTTACATATAAGTATGTGACTATTGCAACCATTTGTTTGCAGACATGGGTATATTGCTTTTAGTATTTTAATATTATGTTAGTCATGATTTATAATGCAACATTTTCCCATTATAATTAATATAGTAGCACTAGCCGTACCTGCCACGTGTTGCTGTGGCCCAGTCTGGTGATCTGGAAAATAAAATAACGAGAAAGTTTTGGTTTCTAATACATGTAATTTCTTTATGCTTATGGGTAAACAGTATTTCTTGTTGTTTGGCCCAATTCTGCAGTTTGTAGGGTTCACAATGCTCTTTGATTGTAGGTGAACTATAAATCCCAGTAACTACAACTCTCAAATGTCAAGGTCTAAGGCTTTCATGGCAGGAATCACTGGGTTGTTGTAGGTTTTTTCAGGCTGTATAGCCATGGTCTAGAGGCATTCTCTCCTGACATTTCGCCTGCATCTATGGCAAGCATCCTCAGAGGTAGTGAGGTGCTGAGGATGCTTGCCATAGATGCAGGCGAAACGTCAGGAGAGAATGCCTCAAGACCATGGCCATACAGCCCGAAAAACCTACAACAACCTTGTCAAGGTCTATTTTCCCCAAACTCCATGTTCATATTTGGGCATATGGAATATTTGTGTCAAGTTTGGTCCTGATCCATCATTGTTTGAGTCCACAGTGCTCTCTGGATGTAGGTGAACTACAATTCCCAAACTCAAGGTCAATACCCACCAAACCCTTCTAGTGTTTTCTGTTGGTCATGGGAGTTCTGTATGCCATGTGTGGTTCAGTTCCATCATTGGTGGAGTTCAGAATGCTCTTTGATTGTAGGTGAACTATAAATCCCAGTAACTACAACTCCCAAATGTCCACACTCCATCTGTGTTCATATTTGGGCGTATTGAGTGCTTGTGCCAAGTTTGGTCCAGATCCATCATTGTTTGAGTCCACAGTGCTCTCTGGATGTAGGTGAACAACAACTCCCAAACTCAAGGTCAGTGGCCACCAAACCCTTCTAGTGTTTTCTGTTGATCATGGGAGCAGAGGCGGCCCTAGGTAATTTTCAATGCTAAGCAAACAGTATTTTGCCCCCCCCCCCCAACCAATCACTGATATATATTTTCTGTTCATTGTGGGAGTTCTGTGTGACATATTTGGTTCAATTCCATCATTGGTGGAGTTCAGAATGCTCTTTGATTGTAGGTGAACTATACATCCCAGTAACTACAACTCGCATATGTCAAGGTCTATTTTCCCTCAAGAGCGCCCCTGGGCAAAATCAACTATACTGCAAATGCTTACTTTGCATAATGGGTTGAGCCGCCCCTGCATGGGAGTTCTGTATGCCATGTTTGGTTCAATTCCATCATTGGTGGAGTTCAGAATGCTCTTTGATTGTAGGTGAACACAATATTCCAAGTGTGGTCTAACCAAGGCAGAATAAAGGGGTAGCATGACTTCCCTGGATCTAGACACTATACTGCAGCATTGTACTGATGTTGCCACCAAGAACGTGTTGCTAAAAATTAGTGGCATATTGCCGCTACTATTAACAAAACCACACGAGGGATTTGTTAATAGTGGCATTTGCTTTCTCAACTGTCAAACCACTGTTGACACAGTTTCCCTTCTCCCATCTTTTTCCTCTTGTCCTTCTTGCATTTCCTTCCCTCCAACCATCCCATCTTCCTCTGGTCTGTGTACCATAAACAGCTGCTAAATGTGAACAGCATGTTGAATAGTAGCAGCAAATTACAGTGGTCTTATGTTGTCCTCAAACCCAAGGCTCGTGCAAAAGGTTTCAACACTTTCATTAGACTGGCTGGGGTTTCCTCCCCTCGGCTTGACAAAGTGCCTCTATTAAACTCCTGGAGGAATGCTGTTTTATTTGCTGATTCAGGCTTTCAGCAGCAGCAATTCTCCTTCCCAATTATTTGTTGAAATGTTCAATTTCTCTGTCTCCCAGGCAAAGAAAATTCCAGGAAGGATCAGCTTTCATCCCCTGCTCCCATATTTGTTTGTTCATTCTTTTGTTGCATCTCAGAACAGAAGACTCTTGTGGATGGGGAAAATACATTCTGGGCTAGGTGTCCAGGAGGAATGCTGCATTCAAAACTGATCATGCCTCCCACTCCTCTCCTCTCCCCACCCCCACAACCCCATCTCTTCTCAAATGTTGTTTACCAGGCAAAGCTAGATGGAGAACGGGCTCTGTGGATGGTGGAAGATCAGTGCCCTCTAGTGAAGGATCTCGAGAAATCCACATGCTTCCGCTCTACTCTTGACTTGTTTACATATTCACATGCATTCAGATCTGTGACTCAAGTTACACTTTGGCTAATCACACTTTGACAGAACACCCCCCCCCCCCATCACTTGTATCCTAACTACATAATCTATTGGTCTCTATTTAAAAAATACTGTCGCAAAGCACAGTTGTGACTGGAATATTACAACCCCAAATAAAGAAGATTGGCCAGCCAGGCTCTCTTTAGAGCAGTGGTTCTCAGCCTTTCTAATGCCGTGACCCCTACATCCAGTTCCTCATGTTCTGGTGACTCCCAACCATATTTTCATTGCTACTTCATAACTGATACTATTATGACTTACTTACTTAGGCGATCCCTCATTTTCCGAGGAGGATTGTCTTCCAGTATTCTTGTGGGTCCGTATGTGGCTGTGGAGCCCTATTCTTACTCTGCATCTTCTTCCGCAATGAGGGCATTGGTTTCCAGGTGGAAGGCGGTCTCGGTAGGGGTTGGCTTGACACTCCTTCCTCTTGGCACGCTTCTCCCTTTCGCCCTCCATTTGTGCCTCTTCAAATTCTGCAGCACTGCTGGTCACAGCTGACCTCCAGCTGGAGCGGTCAAGGGTCAGGGCTTCCCAGTTCTCAGTGTCCATGCCAGAGTTTTTAAGGTTGGCTTTGAGCACATCTTTAAATCTCTTTTCCTGCCCACCAACATTCCGTTTTCCATTCTTGAGTTCGAAGTAGAGCAACTGCTTTGGGAGATGGTGGTCGGGCATCTGGACAATGTGGCCGGTCCAGCGGAGTTGATGGCGGAGGACCATCGGTTCAATGCTGGTGGTCTTTGCTTCTTCCAGGACGCTGACGTTTGTCCGCCCGTCTTCCCAAGAGATTGGCAGGATTTTCCAGAGGCAGTGCTGATGGAATCGTTCCAGGAGTTGCATGTGACATCTGTAGACAGTCCACGTCTCACAGACATATATCAGGGTTGGGAGAACAATAGCTCTATAAACAAGCACCTTGGTATCCCTATGGATGTCCCGGTCCTCAAACACTCTCTGCTTCATTCGGAAAAATGCTGCACTCGCAGAGCTCAGGTGGTGTTGTATTTTGGTGTCGATGTTGACTTTGGTGGAGAGGTGGCTGCCAAGGTAGCGGAAATGATCAACATTTTCTAATGTTACTATTATGAATCATAATGTAAATATCTGATATGCAGGATGTATTTTCATTACAAATTGAACATAATTAATGCATAGTGATTAATCACAAAAACTATGTTTGGGGGAGTATGGACAATGGATGATTCGATCTGCAGTACCTTCCACTGATTCAGCTCTGACTTCCACAGACCACTGAGACCCCAACAAATAACATACATGGACCAAACCCAACACACAGAACCCCAATTACAAAAGGAAAATACTGGAGGTGTCTGGGAGGAATTGACAGTGATTTACAAGAGATGTAGTTTACCTACATCTGGAGAGCACTATGAACCCAAACAACTATGGATCTGGACCAAATTTGGCACAAATACTCAATATTCCCAAATTTGAACACTGGTGGAGTTTAGAGAAAATAGACCCTGGTATTTGGGAGTTGCAGTTGTGTGGATTTATAGTTCCCCTTCGATCAAAGAGCATTCTGAACTTCACCAGCAATGGAACTGAACCAAACTTGGCAAAGAGGACTCCCATGATCAACAGAAAATACTGGAGGGGTTTGAGGGAGGATGTACAACAGATAATGGGATTTAAAGTACCTACAATCACTTCGGTTCTGAGATGTACAAGTCCACTGGGCTCTCTCCCACTGCCTGGAGACACAGCTGCTGGGAGAGGACTCCTTGCTGGCCCAAGAGGGGTGCAGGCACAGCCTCCAGGAAAGGCGCGTGATGCAGCTGCCAACAGGGCAGCCGTATAGGGAGAACAGCACACTGTTGCCCAGTGCACCCGTGGCCCCAGAGCCCCCATGCTGCCCCTTGAAGCAGAGAGCACCTCGATGCCGGCCTCAGAAGAGGGACGCACACCGGGGTTGGCAAGCATGTGGGGGAAGATTGCTGGTGCAGGGTACATGCTTCCTGCATTGGTCCTGGGCACATGCTCCCTAAACTGGTTGTCAACGCTGGAGCACATCACTCTCCCAGAATTGGCAAGCACAGGGGAAGAGAGCACACTTCCTGCACCGGCCACTGGGTGTGTGCTCTCTCCACCAGCCCTCTTCCCCCACACGCTTGCCAATGCCAGGAGAAGTCCTAGGCCTCTCGGGGTCTTTTTAGCACCCTGAGGATGACACATGGGGCCTGCACAAGGAGGCGGGGCCTGAGGAGGCAGGGCCATGACCCCTCAAGAATTGCCAAATGACCCCTCTCGGGGTCGCGACCCCCAGGTTGAGAACTGCTGCTTTAGAGTGTACTGCACTTTATGCTGCATCTTCACCAATGCCTGACCCACCACCACTCTATGTTAATGTTCACATCCCCACACAGAACAATATAATAATAATAATAATAATAATAATAATAATAATAATAATAATAATAATCTTTATTTATACCCCACCACAATCTCCCCAACGGGGACTCAGGGCGGCTCATATGATGCCAAGCCCAACAACACATTACAATAAAATAAAATAAAATAAAACCAAGGCATAAAACAACAACACAATAAAATACATAAAACATAAGAATACAGTAAAGAATATACAATACATTAAAAGTCATTCATAATCCCAGTGACAATAAGCAGGCTGCATGTACAGGATAAAATGCTAAAAACTCAGGATGAGATAGGAATGGAGCAAATTATTTGTAAGGGAGAGCACATAAAAATGGGGGTGTAGAAATCGGCCTTCATACAAGCATGGGAAGTGTACTGTGGAATAAACGTTGAGGGGGAGCAACAATGCTAATTGTGCGGTTACTCTCCGAAAGCGCAGTGGAAGAGCCAGGTTTTAAGGTCCTTCTTAAAGGTTTCTAAGGAGGGGACTTGCCTAATCTCACCGAGCAATGAGTTCCAAAGTTGGGGAGCCACAGCGGAGAAGGCTCTCTCCCTTGTTCCCACAAGGCGAGCCTGTGATAGGGGCGGGGTGAAAGGAGAGCCTCCCCCAAAGATATCGGGCCAGTTCATGAAAGGAGATATGGTCACGAAGGTAGGTAACATCCAGGGGAGGCTCAACCCATTACGCAAAGTAAGCATTCGCAGTATAGTTGATTTTGCCCAGGGGTGCTCTTGAGGCGCTCTTAGTCAAAAATAGACCTTGACATATGCGAGTTGTAGTTACTGGGATGTATAGTTCACCTAAAGTTAAAGAGCATTCTTTAAGTAGTTACTGGGATGTATAGTTCACCTAAAATTAAAGAGCATTCTGAACTCCACCAGTGATGGAATTGAACCGAATATGGCACACAGAACTCCCATGATGGACAGAAAATATATATCAGTGATTGGTTTGGGGGGGGGGGGCAAAATACTGTTTGCTTACCGTTGAAAATTACCTAGGGCCACCTCTGGTAACATCCCTCCTATTTGCCTATTTTTGTGATGAATGAAAAGGACAATATGTGATATGTTTCATTTTCTAAATCTTCCAACTTTCTCTACATTTATCAGGGTCACATTATGGAGGAATTCAGTGGGTTTCATAAAACCATGATTTCTTCTTCTATATAAATGAAAATGTAATGTTCGTTTGTGGTATTCACAGAACTCAAAAACTGCTGGGAAAATTGCCACCAAATTTGGCCACAAGACACCTACTAACCCAAGGAATGGCCATCACTAAAAAAATTCAGTTTATTTAGGAATTGTAGTTCACCTTCAATCAAAGAGCATTCTGAACTCCACTAACGATGGAATTGAACCAAACGTGGCACACAGGACTCCCATGACCAACAGAAAATACTGGAAGGGTTTGGTGGGCATTGACGTTGAGTTTGGGAGTTGTAGTACACCGACATCCAGAGAGCACTGTGAACTCAAACAACGATGGATCTGGACCAAACTTGGCATGGATATTCCATATGCCCAACTAGGAACACAGATGGAGCTTGGGGAAAATAGACCTTGACATTTGGGAGTTGTAGTTACTGGGATTTATAGTTCACCTACAATCAAAGAGCCTTCTGAATCCCACAATCAATAGAATTGGGGAAAACTTCCCACACAGAATCCCTACGACCAATAGAAAATACTTAAGGCCATCCAGTCCAACTCCCTTCACCAGAGCAAGAAAACAGGGCAAGAAATACTGTTTACCCACAAACATAAAGAAATTACATATATTATAAACCAACAATTTCACATTACTTTATTTTCCAGATCACCAGTCTGGGCCACAGCAACGCGTGGCAGGGGATGGCTAGTCTATATAAATAAAAATGTAATGTTTGTTTGTGGGATTAACAGAACTCAAAAACCGGTGGGCAAATTGACACCAAATTTGAACACAAGACACCAACCAAAGCAATCTATGTCCTTCACTCACATGTTGAGGTGGGAACATCTGATTTGTGTGACAAACAAAGAGTTGGACATCCTGTGACAGCAGCCAATGAGTTTCACCAGCAAAAGGTTGACAGATTGATTCAGGATATCACTCAGAGAAATTTTAAGCATAATCGGCATTTCACGTGTGGGTCACATTATTGCTTTGCTTAGCTATCGGAAGATCTGTACATGATGGGTATCCAGGATGAGAGAACTGTGAGACGCAACAGAGTGTCGACTTTTTCCGTGATGGCGTCAGAAAACTTGTTCATTGTTGGCAGAAATGTATCCAATTGTCTGGTGATTATGTGGAAAAGTGAATAGTGGTAGTTAAAGAGCACATTCTAAGAATTATTTCTGTGCTTGATTTATTAAAATATTCCCATCTTAACCCAAGTAACGAAGGTGGACGCATTACTTTTCATTCAACCCTCGCAGTTACATTTCTACACTCTGACAATTACACATGGCCCTTTGAAGGCAACCATAAGGCTGATGTGGCCCTCAGTAAAAATGAGTTTAACCCACCTGTTCTAAGCTCCTACTCATCCTGGAAAACAAACTTTTCAAAATAAATACATTAATTGATCCAGCCAATTGATCCAGTCTGCTTGAAAAGGAGCTTAAAAAACTGGAGTCACTGTTCATGGGAATCTAAACTGGAAAAAAAGACCCTCAAAACTCATGTTGAGATGTACACAAAATATTACAGAAGAAGATTCATGGCCACCACATGCTGGGAACTTCTGTGCAAGATTATTCTTTTGGATCTTTTATGCACTTCGATTTCTATCATAATTCCTCACCCTTTACTATGCTGACTTGGACTGATGTGTGGGTTAGACACAAAATATATTTGGCAAGTCATAGTTCCCCACTTCTGTTTTCAGTGTTTGAGATGATGGGTGCTGTGTTTCAAGAAGTTTGGAGGCCACTAGGTCAGGAAGGACTGGTCTAAAGAAGATCAGCACACGATACTCAAGAGATTGTGTGAATTGCAGAAATTTGCTGGTGAATTGCAGTGAAGACAGAAGCTCTGAGCATGATGAAATCCTATCGCATCGTTCAACAGGAATGAAAAATGTAATGGCAGCAATTAGAGGATCCCAAGAACAACAACTAATTTGTACCTGGCAGGCAGTTGTATAAGCAACAGAATACAAAACTGTTTTTAAGCTTGGCCTTATTAACCATACCTCATCCCTTAAAAATAATGAGCAATGCATTAGGGTGAAGTTCAACAAGACAGAGGTCCTCTTGGTCAATCGTAAACCGGATCGGGGTATAGGGTAGCAACCTGTGTTGGACAGGGTTACACTCCCCCTGAAGTCACAGGTCCGCAGTTTGGGTGTCCTCTTGGATTCATCACTTACACTTGAGGCTCAGGCGTCGGCGGTGGCCGGGAGGGCTTTTGCACAATTGAGACTCGTGCGCCAACTGCGACCGTACCTTGTGAAGGCTGATCTGGCCGGGGTGGTCCATGCCTTGGTCACCTCTAGATTGGACTACTGTAATGCGCTCTACGTGGGGCTGCCCTTGAAAACGGCTCAGAAATTCCAACTGGTCCAACGGGTGGCGGCCAGGTTGTTAACTGGTGCTCCTTACAGAGAGAGGTCAACCCTCCTGTAAGGATCTCCATTGGCTGCCGTTCATTTACCGGTCCCAATTCAAGGTGCAGGTGCTCACCTACAAAGCCCTAAACGGTTTGGGACCCGCCTACCTGCATGACCGCATCTCCGTATATGAACCCACACAATCCCTCTATTCATCTGGAGAGGCCCTGCTCACTATTCCACCTGCGTTGCAAGCGCGTTTGGTGGGGACGAGGGACTGGGCCTTCTCTGTGGTAGCCCCCTGACTCTGGAACTCTCTCCCCAAGGACATCAGACAAGCCCCAATGTTGGCAGTTTTTAGGAAGAGCTTGAAGACCTGGCTGTTCCAGTGTGCCTTTCCAGAATAGGAAACTCCTAGCATCAAGTCCCAAACGCACTTTATTAGAGATTTAAGATTGTCTGCACATCGCACCTACTGTAAAATCCTTACATTTCACCTGTCATGTCCATCACTTTTTAATTTTATTCATTGCATTTGGCCTGGCCCCTTGTTTTTAAATGTGTCATGAAGTTATTGTTTGATGTTTACTGTTGATTGATTTTATGTTTATTGATTTTGCTTTTTTGAGTTTTATTGTTGTATTTGTTATGCTGTTGTTTTATTGAGGGCCTTGGAATTTGTAAGCTGCACCGAGTCCTTCGGGAGCTGTTAGCGGGGTACAAATAAAGTTAATAATAATAATAATTTCAACCCATTTCCATAAAAATGTGTTTTATTCTATTTGCAGGGTTTTTTATTTATTTATTTGCTTTGAGAATGCATCTATTCATGTAAATGCTGCTGGCAATGTAAGAGGTCAGGAGAATCTTCAGTCTTTGATGAAGCTAGTATTATCCTAGTCCTCGGTACAACTTTTATATATCTGTTTGCAATTCATTGTGGAAGCCAGGATGGTGGTGGGGTACACTTTGTGATTTGAACAGGTGCAGCCTGCCTTGACCTTGGGGATATTTGTGGCAAACATG